ACTCGCTGGCCTCGCTCTTTCTGCTCCCCTCCCCGCACCCACGAAGCTATCGCCCCCCACACACACACAGTGTTGAGACGGAGCTAGCCTCTCCCAATATGGATAATACATGGATATGGATTTTCACGTGGATGGCGTGACCATAGAACGATAGAACCGGGAAGCGCGGAGGAACGAGACTTTCTTTTGGATGGCTGTTTCGCTGTGTAAGCAGTACCCGGTGACGAAGACGAGAAAGTTTCAGGTTAGCTCCGCCGCTTGTTGTGCTAACTCAGCCGTCTGTGCTAACGGACCTGTAGATTTCTCACGAAAGTGGGGGCTAGTGGTGCGCTGTGATTGGTCACAATCTGCGACCCGAAACACATTCTCTTCCTTGTTTCATCAAAACTCGATCGAAAATATAATGTCAGGCCAGCACAAATCTGCGCTACTTTTTCTTCAAAAGGACGTATATCCCAATGCACTACATGGACATGGATAGCATTTTCGTAATTAATACGAAAATAAAGTCAGTTAGTGCAGCTTTAAAGACTGGGTTCGAATCCCGGCCGGACCAGGGCCTTTCTGAGTGGAGTTTGCATGTTCTCCCTGTGTCTGCGTAGGTTTCCTCCGGGTACTCCGGTTTCCCCTACCACTAAAAATATGTACAATAGGTCTGGCATGCGCCTCCTGTTCGGCGACCCCGCTCCCATCTCTGTGTGGAGTGAGAGACAAATGCCCAAAAAAATAACAATTGTAAACCGCTTTGTGACTCTGGTCTGTGAAAGGCGGTATATAAATAAAGCTTACTTACTTACTTACTTACTCATCAGTATACCCGTTGTTTGGCTCACCCCTCCCTCTACATGTCTGTCTGTCTCTCTTTCTGTCTACGGCAGTGGGGGAGGGTCCCAGCTCAAAAGTGGCCAAAATGACGTGCGCTGACATGCTTGCAATACCACCCCCACCACACTCCCCCTCTGACACGCCATATTGGACGAGGCGGGTCAGAGTGACAATGTCCCTTAAAAAAGATCTGCATGCTTTTCCGCATGTACTGTTTCCATCCAATAATGTCTGTTGAAATGTTTGTTTTGCTCTCTGCTGTTGAATAACTGCCATAAGGAGCGCGGATATGTCGTCCGCAGCCGGCCTTGATGTTTATTCATCAAACTGAATTTCTCCATCTGTGAGATAATAAAGTATTGATTGATTGATTGATTGATTTTTGTGGTGCTTTTGCTAGATCTTGATTTGTATTACTTTTTGGTAAAACAATTATTTTGGAGTTTGGGTTTTTCACTGATAGCCACCCCCCTGACCCAGAAATGGAATAAAGGGATGAAAATGTACTGTAATGTAATGTTTTTCACTCCACGTGATAGAAATGATTGAATCATGAAGAGTTAAACACTTGGGGATTCGTGATCAGCAATTCTTTCATCCTTGGGGAAAAAAACACGCTCAAAAACTACCACCACTGAAGAACAGAATTTTGGTGGATAAAAAAAACTAATTGTCGTGGAATAATGATGAGGGGAAACATGGTCAAAACCACTGAAAAGTTATGTTTCCTCTAAGTTTCACAAGTAAATCTGTAAAAATACATGACTGATGATGAAGCTGTCATTGCACCAACGATTCTTCACCAAAACCCACTTAATGAGTCACTTTTGGAAGGTAAAAGTTGGTAATATGTTCGTCATTGGTGAGCCCAGGAGTTTTGAATAAAAAAGTTGAGTATACAGACATTGATTGGTTTAATATAATTTTTATTTGTATTTTACTGAAAGTCAAATTTCATAGCACAGCTCCCACTCCTGTTAAAAGTCTTGCAGGTTCCTTAAGATCACAGGTTCAACAGGAACTGATATAGCTCAGGCCTGTGGACCCACATCCTCTTGATAGCAAGAAAACTACACTAACCTATTATTGGAGCCATTATTACCAAATCATTTGCATTTTAAAGGGCCTGTCATGACACTAAAGTGCTATTGGTGCTCTCAAACTGTTGCATCCAAATCTGAAATACTGCTTCCTATTGCATACTAACCATTCATCCCACACACGGTGGTGGTGAGCTACTAGCCACAGCTGCCCTGAGGCAATCTGCTCCTAGTGAGGCTGCCTGTTATCGGCCCCTCCTACCACCACCATCATTCACACGCACAACATTCATACAAGGCAATGTGGGTGAAGTGTCTTGCCTAAGGGCACAACGAAAAGTTTAGAGTCGCCCCACTGTAGCACCTAGTTTGTGTATCTCTTTCTTGGAACCCAAAGGATTAGTCTCTAAATGTAAATTAGTTCTGCATTTGACCCATCCTGATGTGGAGCAGTGGTCGCCGTAGTAACAGCGCCCAGGAACCCATCTCTAGATAATGATACTATAGGCTTGATCAGGACTACCAGAGCTGGAGGATTTTACCTATTGAGCATATTTTTAGTGGTAGGGGAAACCGGAGCACCCGGAGGAAACCTACGCAGACACGGGGAGAACATGCAAACTCCACTCAGAAAGGCCCAGTTCCGACCAGGAATCGAACCCAGGACCTTCTTGCTGAGAGGCGAGAGTGCTATTCACTCAGCCACCGTGCCGCCCGCCATAATAAAGTTGAATTTGGAGAGCATAGTTTGATTTTGAGAATAATTAATGTGATTTAACTGTTGACTCATCACAAATATCCCTGTATCCCTTTATCCATACAGCCTAAATTATAGATTATAACTAGAACTTATGACGAATGGCTAGATGCCTTTTAAAGCCGGCAAATGTCCACAACTGATTCTCAAATGTTTGTGTGGATATAGTCCATGACTGTGCCTTAAATGTTGGCAGAGTGCTGCAGAACTGGAATGTTGTCCTTTACAGAAGGAACATAAACATTGTCCAGACTCTTTAGATGATTCCTTGGAGCTCCGCATTTTGGATCCTTGCTCTGAGCTCTTTGACTCTGGGGTTTTCCTTCACTTGTCCAAAGTCTATGTTGTAGACCGTTGTCTGTTTGTAGATTTAAAAGTTTTTGAGCGACTCTGCACAGTTCCAACTGAAGATGAAGTGCACCTTGAAGAGTTCATCCATCGCAGAAAGTGTTTGTGGCTGGTATGGAGCACCTTATGGTCAACGACCATGTAGAACATCTGGATGTTGTGCTTCCCATCACCAACACATAAAAGCAACGGTTGTCCAGGCTCCACCCCAGCAAGAAAAGAGTAAAGGCTCCAATCTGTAAAATAGTGAGGATCGTTACTTTTTAAACATACTTAAAATAGATATAAATGGTTACAAAGGAAACAAAAAATTACACAAGTACAGAACTTTAAAGAATGTTTCTTTCGATATTACCAACGTACCTGCAGATGTTTGACAAGGTCGTCAATAGCTTGAGGTGAGCTCCACTTGCCACTTCGATTATATCCTTTTGGAGTTGGTGGAAGCAAGTGACCAACAGCAAAATACTGGACATGTCGCTATCCCATCCTGGAAAACACAAAGTGTTACAAAAACAGATACGTATGTTACAATAACAGATCAATTTATTAAAGATTACAGGCTATACTAAAGCTCCCCACTGGAGATCCGGTTTTTATTCTAGCAAAGCAGAAACTTACCAGACTTTCAGCGAGGATCCTTGGTTTGATAAAGTCGACCATTTAGAGACAAAACTAACAGCAAAATTTCTGCCAAACATCATCTCAAAGTCTTGGTTAATCTAGAAGACATGATGAATTATATTATGACTGAAGTGGAAATAATAAAGCAAAAAGTAATGTATACTTACTAAATCTGGTGTGTCAAGTAATCTTGGAAAAAACATCCAAAAGAGACAGAGCCTTGTTGGTCATGTATTAGAAAATGGCGATGTATTCTTTGTGATCGCTTGACGTGTTTAGAGAGTCAGCATCTTTATAGCTTCTTGGCAGTCATCTCCGAATAGCTGGTCTTTAAGTTTTAGCCAACGCTTTCTTTTCGGGTTAACTTAACCATTGCAGGTAACCAGACCCACCCAGGGGGTCATAAAGGTGCTCCTTTTGAACAAAAAAAGTATTGAAAATTATTTATGCAGGTTTACAAAAGATAAGCTGTATATAAAAAGAGTACTTACAAATCCTTTCGCTGAGTAGGGATCTGAATTTAACACTTTGGAATTTGCTGTTTGGAAGTCTATGTTGTCATTGTGGAAAGTTCTATCAGACTTTAGGTAATGGGAGTTGGGAGTTAAAGGAATTTGTTGGTATTGGTGTCTTCTTCGGTTTTGGTTTCTGTCCGGTTGTGTTGATTGTGACCTGTGGTGGCTGGTTTGGCCTAAACACAACACATTGTTGTGTTTTTACCAGCGTTGCACTCGGAGGTTTTGTCTTCTTCTCTGGTGGGAACTCAGAGGTTGTGGCGGACTGTCATTTGAGCGGGTCAGAGAACTTAGAGTCATTTCCATATTCTTGATCAAAAGGGCTGTACCCTTCAATGTTGGGTGGACATCATCTGGGCGCATTAGACCGGGCTTTCCCAAGAAGGTGCTCCAGTTGTCAACAAAGACAACACCATGTTGAGGGCACCAACCAGACAGCCAGCGATGGAAAGATAACATGCTGCTGTATGCTTCTTCACTGCCGGTGCTAGGAAGGGGACCAGAAAAGATAACCGTGTCCGCCATTGTGCTCGCCAGATTACAAACGGCGGCAACCTGCACCTTCAACATCTCTGCTGTTGTTTGTTTCCGCCTAACGTCATTGCCACCCGCGTGAACGACGACTAGACGAAAACGCTGCTTGCTTTGGTTCAGGACCCTCAGATTCCCCTCAATGTCACCCATCCTGGCCCCAGGGTAGCACAGAACAGTGGCCCCTGGGATCTCAACATCTCTTACAATAGAGCTGCCAATTACCAGAACATCAGCGGTTCTCTCGGTGTGGTCCTCTTCTCCGCCCAGTGCGGCCGGTGGAATCTTTTCTTGATGACTTTGCTTCATCCTCTGCACCTCCTTGCATTCTTCCTCCCACTTTTTCTTCATGTCTTCAGAATGCTTTTCCAGACGCAAGAGCTTGGTCTTCAACTCTTTAATTGTCTCGTTTGCGTTGGCCTCCTGCTTCCTCAGCTCTTGAATGGAGTGTTCACAGGTCCTCTTGACATCCTCCACCTCATTTTTTGATTTTTCCTGGGCCACAAGAAGACTTTTCTCCAACGCAGCGTGCAAGTTTTTCAGCTGCTGTTCCATATCCAGTATTTTTGTCTTGAACCTTTGACACAGAGCTGTGAGTTTCCCATTCTCCTCCTCCATCTTGGCAATTTCAAAGTTTTTCAGAAGGAAATTTGTGCTACATTCCTTCAACTCCTTTTGGGTGCTTGCCAGACTTTCCTCCAGACGGGTATTTGCCGTCTCTCTGTCCTGCATCTGGGTCTTGAGCTTGTTTATGAAACAGTCGCCTTCTTGTATGCGCGATTTCAGGCAGTCTATCGTCATATTGTTCTGAGACTTGACATGCACAAGCTCATTCTGCAGATCTCCAATCACTGCGACTGTCTTTTTAGCAGACGTCCTCATTGCAATGTCCAAGGCCTCATTGTCCTCATGGGCCTTTTGCAGTTCCTCTTGGATAGCTGTCTTCTCCTGAATGGTGGAATTCAGTCTGTCTTGGATAGAAATAGAGTTCTTCTCTGACTGCATTAGGGCAGTCTCCAAGGCAGATTTCTCAGTCTGGAGCTGGCTCACTTTCTCCTGCTGTTGACGACGCTCATTCTGCAGATCTCCAATCACTGCGTCTGTCTTTTTAGCAGACGTTTTCATTGCAATGTCCAAGGCCTCAATGTCCTCATGGGCCTTTTGCAGTTCCTCTTGGATAGCTGTCTTCTCCTGAATGGTAGAATCCAGTTTTTCTTGAGTAGAGGTAGATCTCTTTTCCGCCTGCAACAGAGCAGTCTCCAAGGCAGATCTCTCTGTCTGGAGCTGGATCAGTTGCTCCTCTTGTTGGCGACGTTCTTCCAGTTGAGTCTTCTCCATTTCATTCCTCTGCATTTTTTCCCTCTGCAGGTCCTCCAAAAGACTCTTGTGTTTTTTCTCCAACACGATCACATCGTCTTCAAGCTTTTCAATCAGCTTGTCTTTCTTTGATTGCCTTCTAAAACACGCCATTTTGCTCAGTTTACTCCGTTTACTTTGTTTAATCCGTTTAGTCCGTTTTTTGTCTGACCTTATTTACGAATCAGACAGACACACACACACAGCAGACCCTAGCTTTGATGACGTAATGATTCTAATGGAATCCCTGTTGCCATGATGATAGAATATTCCATGCTTCTGTTACCGTGGCAATTTTTTGCAGCTACTTTACATGTTGGCAAAGAATCCTCATTGAAAATAAAGGAAATTAATTATGAAAATTATAATAGATATGGATTGAACACACAAGATAATTACAAAATAAGTAAAAAATTAACAAAATTTAATTAAAAGTGACTGCTAACTCAAGAGCTTTGAATGTGATTTGTGAAGAATCACATTCCAGTCAAGGGCCAGTCAAGTGAACACAGAACTGGGGTGAAGTGCTCATAGCATCAAAAACGCGAAAGGGTTCTTTAGGCCTTTTTTTAATTTACTGCATGTTTTTTATTGTAAGCCCCCACCTTGCCATGTGTTTTCCCTTGAATATCAACAAGATCATGCCAAAGGAAAACAGGTGCAATTGGAAAGTTATTGACATTGTGAGATAATGATTTAATTTCGGCAGCTCCTGATATAATATGTCTAGAAGTCCCTGCTTACCTTTGTTCATAATAAAAATGAGATAAAGATAGATTCATAAACTGTGAAAATACATATATAGAACTTGAGGTTTGATGAATGCACATTGCTCTCAAAAATTGATGATACAAAGGCTGATCAGCTCAGTTGGAAAGGGCGTGTTGCTAATAATGGCAAGGATGTGGGATCAATCCCCATACAGGCTAGCTGTGTTTTGAGAGCAATGACTAAAGAGTAGATAAGGTGTGTTTTATTCTTGACATTGTAAACGTTTAAAATACATACAGTTTATACAATATAGTTAAACCTGTGCTAATCAACTGTAGAACTACATTTAAGATAAGATAAGATAGACTTTATTGATCTCACACTGGAGAAATGTACATGTCACATCTGGCATGGACAGAAACACTCAAGATTGTGCAAAAGAAAGAAATGTGCAAACATGTTGAATGCAGGATATACAGTATTATGTACAATAAAAAGTGTCTATTCAAAAGTGGCAGTCAGGTTTCAATAAGTAGTGCAGGTTTTTTCAGTCCTAATGCAAGTGACTTAGATTGACTTATTGTACAGTCTGACAGCAGTGGGGATCAAGGCCCTGTGGTAGCGCTCGTTTTTCCACTGAAGGAGCTCCTCAGCTCCTCTACAGTCTTGTGCAGTGGGAGGTGTTGTCCATGATGGAGGTGACTTTGACTAGCACCTCCTGTCCCTCTCCTCCTCCACAGAGTCCAGGGGCCTCCTGTCCCTCACCTCCTCCACAGAGTCCAGGGACCTCCTATCCCTCACCTCCTCCACAGAGTCTAGGGGCCTCCTGTCCCTCACCTCCTCCACAGAGTCCAGGGGCCTCCTGTCCCTCACCTTCACCACAGAGTCCAGGGGACAGCTGGCCCTCCTGACCAGCTTGTTCAGTCTACTCCTGTCCCTCTCTGTGCTGCCCGGGGCCCAGCACACCGCAGCGTAGTATATGGCAGAGGCTCATCAGCTCAGACCTCTCTTGTCTCAGTATACATGCAGACTCAGATCTCTCTTGTCTCAGTATACATGCAGACTCAGATCTCTCTTGTCTCAGTATACATGCAGACTCAGACCTCTCTTGTCTCAGTATACATGCAGACTCAGACCTCTCTTGTCTCAGTATACATGCAGACTCAGACCTCTCTTGTCTCAGTATACATGCAGACTCAGACCTCTCTTGTCTCAGTATACATGCAGACTCAGACCTCTCTTGTCTCAGTATACATGCAGACTCAGACCTCTCTTGTCTCAGTATACATGCAGACTCAGACCTCTCTTGTCTCAGTATACATGCAGACTCAGACCTCTCTTGTCTCAGTATACATGCAGACTCAAACCTCTCTGTCTCAGTATACATGCAGACTCAGACCTCTCTTGTCTCAGTATACATGCAGACTCAGACCTCTCTTGTCTCAGTATACATACAGACTCAGACCTCTCTTGTCTCAGTATACATGCAGACTCACTTGTCTGGGTAGTATATGGTTAAAAAAGAATGCTGTGTGATGTATGTTCAGGTGTGTGTTACGCTGAGTTGGGTGTGCGCGTCCCAAAGACCACGGGATCAGCCTACACCTACAGCTACGTCACCGTGGGGGAGTTCGTGGCCTTCTTCATTGGCTGGAACCTGATTCTGGAGTATTTGTTCGGGACGGCAGCTAGGGCCTCGGCGCTCAGCAGCATGTTCGACTCTCTGGCCTATCACACCATCAGCCACTACATGATCACTCACCTGGGGACTCTGCGAGGCCTGGGTAAAGCACATTTATGAATGAAATGTGTTTGATTATACTTTTCATGCTTCTTCTTAAAAGGCATAAGTGGCTCATCTCAATATTGATATAAAACCATGTAATATGACGCAAATTCACACATCACCAAAATCACTAGCAGAAAAAACCTCACGTTAAAGGCCCTGTAAGCTTTGCTATGGCCGCAGATCAAGTTAGCGATCAGCAACTTCTTTCATTTGAGCAAAAATGCCTGTTCAACGCTCTTTATGCCTCAGTCCTTGTTCTACAGCCTGACTCCTGGAGGTCAGTGATGATTCACGACATCTACGGACATTATAAACTTTTCCGAACAGTGGTCATCCTGCTCCCTGTGGACCAATGGCTGTGTCCGTTCATTGCCATTCACACACCAGACTCATTCTAGGCAATATGGGTGAAGTGTCTTGCCTAAGGACACAGCAAAAGCTTGGCACTATACAGTCGCAGCCACCCCACTCTGGCACCTGTTAGAGAATCAACAGCACACACACACACACACACACACACACACACTCCCTCACACACACATATACAATAGCAATTCTAGACAAAACAAGATCAACACACACACTGACAATTCTAGATATACCATAACAACACACACACACAAACACCACACACATCCCGTCATGCACATACATAGACACACATGGACACACATAACATTTCTAGACATAACATCATTTTATATTTTTATCTTTCTTTTTAATGTTCTGTGATAATTTATGATTTTAATGCTTTCTTGTTTTGTTCAGCACTTTGAATTGCCTTGTGTATGAATTGTGCTATATAAATAAACTAAACTTGCCTTGCCTTGCCATCATCAACACACACACACACACACGCACACACACACACACACACACACACACACAAACACTATAATTCTAGACATAACGTTGTTGTTGCATCCCCTGGCGGCTGCTTATCTGAATAAATGGAGGAGCTCAGAGGGTGATAAGGTCAAACCTCTGCTCGTAACAGTCCACTCCTGTTCCAGAGAAAGGCAGTGGCAGCAAGTCCCCGTATCTGGAAAGCAAAATCAGACTTAAAACGATACCATTATTGCTCCCTGGTACTACTTACTATTACCACTATTCAACATGTACTTTTGTTCAACATTATTTCTATCCATGTGTCATGACCGATAATTATTTAGTTATATCAATCTGGCTATCTCTGTAGTCGCAATCCTTTCTCCAAACCCCTATTGTCCTCTTGGTTAAAACTCTCTGTAATCATGAATAAATGATCAAAACATTTAAAAGACATCTTCATTATTTTTCATCCCACAGCCTAGAATGTGCCCTTTTTCATGAGACATAACATTCATAAAATAAAATGTATTACATCAAAAAGAGTTTTCTATCCAGCCGTGCTCAGAAAATTCTCGGAGAAGTGGGAGGCATGTATTTTCAATCAAAATGCTTTGTTTATTTAGTCATTTATTTATGCAAACCTAGGCTACATAATCTGGTTTCATGAAATTGTGCCAATTGTTTAGAATATCACCATAAAGTGCTTGTGCTTTTTAAACCAGTGGTACCAAGAAAAAACTACTCCAGGCGCAGCAATAATATAACACAATAAACTCTCTCTATAACTTATTACCTTATTACTCAACCCATTTTGGGGATGATTCTCTAAAGTCCCATTAAACTTTGCTCATACTTTCTCCATTGTCCTGTGAGAAATACTGCAACTAAACCAGAATGATCATAGACTTAATTCTCTTCATTGATTTATCTGACTTGGTGACATGCGGCTGGTGCCTTTGAAGACTGGCCCCCGCGGAATCTCCTTTTAGACCTTAGAAGGACTCCCCACGGTCTCAATTACTCCTGCCTCTGCCTGGATTTCCTCCTGGCCGCTCTTTCTCTCTTTCTCTCTGCTGTTTCTTGTGACTTGTAGCGCTGCTGGAAGCTTGTGTCCTTCACCTCATGATCTCCACTGCTCTTTGAAGATAGCGAAGATGGCTGAGGTGCAAAAGCGTCCCAAGGCGCTGATTTTCCTCCTGTTTATCAGCGGCCAACTCCGACAACCTGTAGCAGCATGTGCCCGTGATCCCCCTGTTGAAGGCACGCTGCAGGGGGTCGCTGAGGCTGGTGGCTGAGGCTATGTGAGCGAGATCTCATTTGTCAAAGGAACAGAAAAAGATAAACACTGGTTCTTTTATTACTGGGCCAATTTGAAAGGGGGAAAGTTTCTACTGATATTGTATCTTGGCATGGGGAAATGGTTCCAGACTAAACTTTGGGAGCAAATATTACATACTGTGTTACTTGTGGGTAATGAGCCTGGTGCAGAAAAGTGTGGCTGCCAAATTAACTTTTCATGCTGACTAAAAGTTGCACGGGGGAAACAGGCATAATCCAAAGAGAAAATGTTGAGGCAAGAGAGACCAAACCGAGTCTGCAGTTGGAACCAATGGAACAATCACACTTTCTGCTGATACGGTTCACTTCAGGTGCACCAGAACAACAAGTTCTACACGCTCTGATGTACGTACACAATACAGTGTGTGTCATGTGATGGTACACACAATAACAACATAACAAGCAACTTTAAATCAGTTTGGTAAATCAGCTACCAGTATACCGGTATTCTTTCTAAATATAGAAAAAGTGTATATGAGACCTCACGGAGTAACATGCATACAACGGAGAAAATGATAAAACATGAGGTAAAAATGAATAGATATGAGGTCTTTATCTTAATTTGAGTACATTCTGACTAGATTTGCCAATGAAACAAGAATTTGATGGAGACATTTCTTATGCATTTTTAAAACAAGATAATTTAGCTGCGGTTCCATTGGCAATCCTTCTTTTACGTGTGCTCAAATTAAGGTAAATGTTGCCAAATATGAGAAATGTTTAACTTATTTTCATCAGATTTGCAGTGTCAAAAAACTGTGTCTTTTTGCAGTTTGTTTGTCCTCAGTCAAACTTGAACATTATTTTCTCAAACCCTCAAATATCCACATGACCTCACTTGACAGGCTCCCCTTTGTCCTCTTAACCCTTAAGTGGTGTTAGGGTCTCCAGCAACCTAGCCTGGTCGTACCATACCATAGTACAAATTACATTTCATACTATGGTCTGGAGGCGCTCCATTGAGCTCCGTTAACAGGTGGGAGGGGTTAACTCCTTTTGCAGATTGAAACGATTGGATCTGAGTTTACCGTGACGTTTCTAATGTGCCCGGGTGAGTCGTTTTAGCATTTAGCCTAGCCATCTCCTTTGCCGATAACGGAGCCCGTGGGGAGAAGCGCCACAATCTTTGCCAGCGATTACATTTGCTAAACATTCCCCATCATCATCATCATCGTCATCATCCTCTTCTTCTTCTTCTTGAAAAACATATTGCCATTCACATATATTGCACAAAGTATATGTAACACAATCTTTTTAATATGTTATAATAAACATTGAATCAGTCTGGCTCTTGGCTTGTCAAAAATGTGTTTTTTGGCTTTTTTTTGGTGTTTGACTTTGACATCCCTGGAGTAGCACCTTTTGCTTGTTCTGTTCAGTGGTCTCCGTCTCCTCAGGACCAGCAGCTCTACTTGAACACTACTGCATAAGGGCCACATCACAAATGCATCTTTCATGTTTTCTCAAGTCTCTATTCTACAATCTCATCTGAATTTCCTCACAGTTCTCTGCCAGGTAACTTCAGCACACTCTATTCACACAAAGTACAAACTGCTGAATTACTGGCGAGTTTTATGAAAATTGTAGCTTACAGACCGCTCCAATAAGTGTATACTCTTTCGATTTGGCTTTGCGCTCTTCTTTAGCATGCAAATAATTCTCCACACTTTGGGTAATTTCCATTCTTTACCATTTGATCAAACCCACGGCAGCACATTCGGCCTAATTCACTATGAAACACCCCGGTTCTGCTTGGTCGCACTCATCTGGCCCCCACTCCTGCCCTCATTTTGTTTGGACCGTTCCAATGTGGCAATCAAAATGAATTAGCATGACAATTTTATTCCTCCGAAGGCTCAGAGCGGCACACATTTTATTGATGAATTTCAATCAGTCGACAAAAGGTGCACTAAAACAGCTTGCCCCCCCCATTGGACTGGCGACCTTCACAGTGCGGCTGTTCAGGGGTGGATCGCAGTAAATGTTCCTAATGTAATCATTTTCTATCAGGGCAGAAGCAGCGATGAAACGGGTTGATCTGACGGTGATGATGGTAATAAATCTGTCAGTGTGTTGTATTAGAAAAGCCAAATCACTCGTCTAATCTCCGCCTCAATTTGCCTCGCTTCAGTATATTGTCATTTGAATGATGAATGCCCTTGGATATAATAATTGAGGCCAGATCTAGTTTTCAGAGATTTGGTGATTGGAGATGGACTGAGGAAGTTGGGAATGCAACATGGCTCCTTGAGGGGTCATTGTTAATAACTATACTTCACCATTTTAAATTAGGTCTTTTTAAGCATTATTTTTGTTTTCCAAATGGCTTAATCATCGCTCAGGAAGTGTCTAATCTAACTTTTTAATTGGACAAAAAGGAAAAACTGTCTACATTCACGTTCATGTTTTCATTCAGTATCATTACACTTTCCGTGAAGAGCATTTAATGTCAATGTCAACGCCAGCTTTAATTGTATAGCACATTTACAACAACACCAGCTGCCCGCACCAGCATCAGAATCCTAAATCAACAATGAATGTGACAGGGAGCCAGTGAAGTGACGCCAGCACAGGGGTGATGTGCTCTCTCTTATGAGTTGCTGCCCCGCACACATCGACAATCTGGCGAAAACGGGTAACTTCTAGTAGCAGGCCAGTGTCGGGAATAACAGCGCGTACATCGACAGCAACTGGCCTCAACTACAGTGTGTTTTCTGGCATAAACTGTAGAGGGCGCAATACACGCAATGCTCACATGTTGTTGGAGCGCGCCCATTGGGGGATATCTCCGGATCTGAGGACAACTAGTTGCCGAAAAGTAGAACACGGGCAACTGACTGAATCCAGAGATCGACTGTTTATCTCCAGTTGTAAGAGCGCGCACATCGACCGATTTCTGCAACTGATCATCTCCCACCATCTCCTCTCAGTTGCCAAAAGCCGCCTTGCAACTAGTTGTCTCCAGTTACTCTGTCGATGTACGCTAGGCTTTACATTCCGCACCTGCTGAACTGAGATTATGTTTTACCAAATCTGGCATCACATAAATGTTTCCCAATATTTTTCTTACATACTTAAATTTTAGTTATTTCTGTCGTTGATTTTCATAGTCCTCTATCTCTTATATGCAACCTTTCAGGGCGTCACCGTCTGTCTCTATCAGATCAAATTTTATGAAAAACAAAAAGGATGAATCAATTAATGCTCTATCCATGGTTTTCCAGAAAATCATGGCCGTTGACAGTGACTGACAATGAACAAAATATTTATATTAAAGGGTAAATAGACAGGGTTCCCAGTCATTTCACTCGTTATTGATTGTGTTGTTAACATTGTGTGTGACATTATTTATTTAAATATAAAAATAATTTAGGTACGCGGCTTAGTTAAAGGCTTATATCTGTCGAGCTAACTCCTCAAACACTTGGACCTTTTGTACTTTCACACTTATAACAGAACAACTTTCCACACATTTTAGCAGCTTGGAGGCTCTTCACCAACACCCTCAATCTGTCAGATTGAGGGGCCCCTGGAGCCGGTCTGCAGGGCCCCCGGACTCTGGCCCCATCAGACCACCACAGCGACACCACACATCACAGGGAGCTGAGGGGTCTCATTTGTGCAGACGGAGCCAGCGAGCGCGTCCCGGTGGCACAGGGACACTTCCTAATCAGCCGTCACAATGGGCTGGTATCTGTCTGCAGCAATAGACAGCTGGAGGTTACATGGACATCACACTGGCTGAGATTACACCATCAACACACAGGGGCCGGAGCTGGTGACAGGAACATGGCTTTGAACGTCCCAATGATGCCACACACACAAAAAATGTGAATATACAATTTCAGAGGACAAAAACATTACTCTTGAACATGGTTATTTTGTGCTATATTGTATTCTCATTGAGCAAAAACACAGGTTTTCAAACCAGCAACCCAGAGTCGCCTCTTACACACTGAGAAACCATGTGAATTGCTCAAAAATGCGGAATTTTAACACTGATAAAGTGATTTTAATCAAGAATTTTATTTTTCATGATAATTTACATCTATTTTGCATTACATTTTACATTTACATTATTCAAATTTGATTTTCTTGCTTTTTTCTACCTGAGATGTTGCTGCAGTGCAGTGTGCATAGTTTTGCACTGGTCCAGACCAGAGTAGAGAGGATTCATGGTCCAAACCAAGAGGATCAGGTGAAAATCCACTGGAGGAATGCTAACTTTTTTTTAAAATGATAATGAAGCATTTAGCATTTTACTTTGGACTAGAGCAGAGAAAATGCTCCGAACCAAGCGGCTACTCCACCTTGTGACCCGTCCTGCTCCACCCAGAGGCTACTCCACCCAGAGGCTACTCCATCTCTGCTGCTGTGACCTGAATTTCTCCGACGGGGATCAATAAAGTCTAAAATCTATCTATCTAACTTCAGTGCATTCTGACTGTCTTGGGGACAAGCCATTACGTCTTATATCAAGAACTGTTGCATAGTTTTTTCATTCCAATGGAGACATTTCTTGCATTTATTTTGTTAATTCAATTATTTAGTTTGGCCCATTGTCCTTTTTGCAAATCTTGCCAAATTTCATTTTTCATCTTTTTTTTCTGTGCACTTTTGGTGCCATGTTTTTATTTAAGTTTATTGACAAGATGATTGTCCTGTTAAAAAGACACAGACAGACGCTACAAACCCTGAACAATGATTGCATTATGCAGAGATTCTGGCAACACTTTCAGCCCATGCATTAGAGATCAAGTATCCAGTCTGACATCCCTTGCATAATAGATTTTTTTTATCATCTTATATCTTACAGGCCAGCCACCTACAAGCAGTTTAGGTTCAATCAGTACCATGACTTCCAATAGTAGTCAGAGTTTGATTTAGGATACAAGAAACCCTATGGATTTATCAAGGATACAGTATTTACAGCTGGTCTTCATGGGCTGGCCCCGTTGTATTTGAATGAACTTTTGTGTATTCAGGATTCTGTAAGAACTACAAGGTCATCTTCCCAGTTGCTCCTTAAAGTTCCCATATCCATTATGGAGAGTAGAGGGGGACCGAGCCTTCATTGTGTCCGGGCCCCGGCTTTGGAACAATCTACCACTGTGGGTCAGAGCCGCTGATTCACTGGTCCATTTTAAATCCCTTCTTAAGACCCATTTCTATTCATTGGCTTTTTAACATGCATTGAGCTGAATTTCTCTTTTTATATTTCTGTTTATTGCCCGTTGCACATTATAAATTAATTGTTTTTACTATTGTGGTATCTTCTTCTCTGCAGAATATGGGGTTCCTCGCACAAACCAGTATAGTGTTGGAGAAGGAATGCACTCTGAGTTATGTATTAAAGAAAGAGTTCAATGGCATAATCAGAATACATCAAGTCCAATTCAGGCTTAGCGCTTTCAGCTTGGGTCAGCTCCGAGAATGATGATGGCATGACTGACCCCGCGCACACAGAGGACTAGGATCTTATAGTTTAGTTGAAGAAGTCATAAGACACATTTTAACAACCATACATTCACAGGACCTAAATGTGTAGTCGCATGATATCAGTGCTGTTCACACATATGAAGATCTCCATTGTTTTCCCAGAGTCACGTCAGCCTCATGACTGAGAGAGAATGGTCAGCAGTCGTAGACATTAAGTGCTGACGTCCTCTCACATTCATTACAGAGGAAGACCCATATATTTATGTAGAATTAAAGAATATTAATAATAACAGATACCACACTATGTTTTTAGACAATTTGTAAAGCACTATATGTGCTTTTGGCATTGTAAATGTGCTATATAAATAAACTTGACATTGACATAAAGAGTTTGTTGCTGGTGACGCTGAGTCCTGGCATGTAAGCATCGGTTCAGGTCTACAAGGTCACGGCCTACATTCACTCCTGTTTAACCTGCGTAATCTCCAACTGGCACAAACAGGATCGTCATTACGCTCATTCAATGTGATCATATTCTTTGTCCAAAACAAAATAACCTTGGTTTATTGTTGCCGCATATTTCTATTCTTCGTAGGTATTACAACCCGGGTTTTAGTGCAGACTCTTCTGGTACAATATGAGGGATGTTGGAGGCTGTCAACAGTGGACTAAATTATCTGACCTCCAAGTTAAATGGTGTCACTCAACCTTTAAAAATCCAATAAAGAGCCATTGGACTTTGCATTTCAATCCACAGACTCATCTCAATCAATTTCCTCGCGTTGAAAAGGGTCAGTGACAGGCCTGCCCCCGACAGGATGATGATGGCACTCATGGAGCTCTGTATTTTAAATTGTTTTGGAAGAAGATCCATCATACAGAACTGGACAAAATGTATTTAGAATCAAGTTTCATATTGGACATACAACATACTGTTATTCTGAGCCTCTTGAAGTAGTCACAATGGCAAAAATAAATGAAGCCAAAACGCGGAGCAGCAAAAAGGATGGATTTAATAAAACAACATAAAAAGTAATAGAACAGGGACAAGACAAGAGCTGAAACAGATGTGGAATGACAAAGACGAAACAGGGAGCGAAGGACACTAAAGAGACACAGGTGAGACACATGAGGGCGCGGCAGGTGATTAGAAACAGGAAGTACAATTAAAAACATAAGGTTGAACAAATTGGACAAAATAAAACAGGAAATAAAATCAACATCTACTAGTTTCCACCATGGTTCAATGTTTGCTTGGTTTATCTTTGAATAGAGTGTGTGTTAACAGTGGCGTTGTTACAAAATGGCTAACAATGTCCGACTGCCT